ACGGCGAGGCTCTCAAGCAAAGATTTCTGGCCCGCCTGCAAAAGCGACATGCTCGGCTGAAGGCGCTGCAGCTGCGCCTGCACACTAATCTGAAGCATCATGTAGTATCCCCCCAAAGAGGATACCCCAGCATGCATTCACTATGTTTTATCAGGAACCATGTACACCCTAACCAATCACCGACCTCTAAACGTGCAGACGAGTACGTGCTTCTGAGGAGAGCCCAGCATGGGGCAATTGTGGTGTAATTGTTCCCCTTGGACTGCGCTGATGGCCGCCCCACTTTGCCCTCAAGTTTCCTATGCCAGGCCTCAAAGGCATCAAGGCGCTTTGATTGGGCAGTCAGAGCCTGCGCAAGCTCGGCCCTGAACTCCTGGATGGCGGTTTTCCGAGACCGTCACAGCCCTTTCGCGAGACCAAGCTCGCCGTAGGATCACGACCCAAAGCTTGGAGGCTTGGACTTGAAACTCTTCAGACTCTTCAGACTCTTCAGACTCCTGCCGCATACGTCGCTCGAGGTTTGCGATGTTCGTCTCCAGCCTCAGGCTGAATACCGGAGAACGGTCTTCTGGCATCTTGCACAGCCCGTAAGTTCATACCGCTCCCCCAAGTATGACTTGTCCAAATAGCATCTTTGTAGGAGCATGTCAGGCAGGGCGACACTGACTGTACAACATGGCCGAATGGCAGGGAGACATATACCACAGACGGATATACAAGAAATTATATATATATATATATGTATCCATACATATATATATATATATCTATGTATGTAGAGTTCATGTAGGTAAAAGCCCCGTGCTTGACCAGGAGCTTCGAGGCCGACATATGCTCCGAATGCTCCGCCAACGCAAAGCACCGCGCAATGGAAAAGAAGGCCCTGTGTGTAATCCGTGCATTAAGAGGTGTCCAGACAAAAGTGCTCTGCCTCAGCATGTGTACCGGCTTCGGTTGCTTGTCAGTTCCGAGCACTTGGGTATCCACCAACGAGAAGAATCCAAACCAGCTTGGACGTTCACCTGTGATCCTAAACAGCTGCCGGTTGCCGAGACCCTCAGGCCAACTCTTGATCTCGCTATCTGGCATGTTCCTCAATGCAGGACATGAGAGCATTCTCCACTCGGTTGTCACAGGTCCTGAAAATCATACTCTTGCAAGGCCAAGAGTGTTGGCTTCGATGCATCGATCTTTTCCAGGATTCGAGGACCTCGAACCTGCGTCAGGCTTGCTAGTATCTGCTGTCACATCCCTCATCCCTCTGCAGAAGAGATTACGGCACGACTGGCGGATCAGAGCGGAATGCGCAACACGTATCAGCTGGACATGTCACCGTGACGACCGCACGCTCTATCCTTGCCTCGGCCTGTGATGGCCTCTAGCCACTCTAGGCTACGCCTTCTACAATATCTTGATGCCAAAGAGTTCACTATGTTGACTCAGTGGAGTGGCTGCAAGGACTGCGAAGTGCATCTCCGCCTGCCAGACCCGGGACCCCATCTGGACTTTCTGCAGGGCGGCATAGAGCTTTTCAGTGACGACCTGCCATGTCAATGAGCTCCCGACATCGCATACGGCGTAACCAACAAAATGAAACAACTGTATCAACTGTAGCGAGTGTAGAATCATGCCTAAACGCATTAGCATCACACTCAGAACGCATTGATTCGGTGGGCGTCGTGGCTCAAGACAAACTTTGGACAACTTTTGGCGGTACCTGGCTGACGCATGCGAATCTCTTGCCTCGTCATGGAGCTGTCGCACAACTCCGAGGAACGTCTTGCCGCCGTCTAGGGTAACAGCATCCTCAACCTGCAACGCATCGGGCACTCGCGGCTCACGTTACCAGCTCTAGGACTCCAAGACTCATTCGATCAAAGTGAACGAACATTGCTGCTTCAGTGAGCTAGATAGGAACTATATAGTATACTCGTCATTGCTTTGGCTGGCATATGAGCAAATGATGTTATGGACATTTGTGGACCCTCCTCTGCCACAAAGAGCCCCGACCCCTCCTAGACATTGCGCGCAATACGGATTCGCGCACTGGGCATTCATGCACTTTGGTCGCGGACTTTGGTCGGGGACTCGCTACGTGCACTGGACAGCGAACTCGCGCACTGAACGGAGGACTCGCGCACTGGTGCGGTACACACGAGCATCAAGGATTCGCGCGCTGACACGGCCGATTCGCGCACAAGCACTGGCGCGGGGATTCACGCATGCTTGCAGCAGATTCACTCACCAGACCATTCGCGCAGAATGAAACGCTTCAAGCCCAAAGGAGAATAGGTAGAGGAATCTTGGACACGTGCGAAGCCAACGCCATACCATATGGGGAGTTGACGGGTTGCCATACCTTAAGCCGCAGAAGAAGATGAGCGCGCGGCAAAACGTACTAGAGGCCACCAGTGAGACGTTTCATTGAAGGTACCGCTTTTGGGGTTCGGTGTCGCTTTCTCAAGTAAAACGGACATGCGGGGGTATCGCTTTTGGGGTAAGGCATCGCTTCCACAGCACATTTGCTATGTCCCGCCCAAAGATACTCAGAGTCGCTCAGATCATGAATGTCAAAGCGATGGGTGTGTACACCCTGCGAGTAGCAAGAGACTATGAACGAGAAACCCCGAAAGCAACACAAAATCAAAGGATTCAAACTCGTGCCCATAAGGTTGTACCCCTAAAGGGTTTTGGGTTTGGGTTTTGAGTTTCGGGCTTGGGCCGGTTTGGGCGCTTAGGGCCCTATGTCCCTTAAGGCCCCTGGTGATCTTGAAAAAGGCTCCCAAAACCTAAGGGCACAATCTTAGAGGTCCAAGAAGGTCGAGTTGTTTGGGAAACACCGAATTGAGCCCTAAAGGAGATGGGCCTCGGCAAACCCTACAAGAAGAGACGCTGCTGCCTTTGTAATCGGTGGTGCTTGAACCGCATGCACTTGAATGAAAAGCGCAACGCTTGTATCGGAACACGGCCTCAACACTTTTTTCGGGAGAAGGGGAACATCACAGACGGCCAACTCCAACCTTGAGGCTGGCCCAGGCGGCCACGCGGAGCGCGCAATTGGCTCCATGAATTTTGGCCCTTCTTGGGCACGATGAGGGTGCCGTATGGTAACTAATGGGAAGTCCAAAACGCGACTCTTAGATGGGACTGTGCCAAAATATATTCTCACAGTCTTCTCACAGTCCCAGGGCGCCTGGACGCCGTCGAGCTTCCAGCCTTCACCGGCCAGCTTTGTGAGATCCCGCTGGTCCCAAAGCCCTTGCAGGGATGAGCCCCAGACTCAGCCAGAGTAGGGCTCACTTGGCGCAATTGCTCCATGTAATAATGACTATGCTATGCCAGGCGGGCGCTTTACAAAACATTGCATGTCGGCAAATGTCGGCACTTTCGACCCCTCAATCATAGTGTGTGGACGGCTGGAGAACTTGCAAAATCCATCAAGATCCCGCAAACGTCATATCATGCCACTTGAATGTAAAGTCCTCGAGACTTCATCCTCACGCCCTGTCACGAAGGGAGAGCGCTTGGAGACTGAACAACGGTCGCATTGCTGGTTTCTAACTTCTACAGAGCTGGCCTCTGGATCGACTATGAAGGTCTTCATGGGATGCCATTTCCGGTACTCATCATTCAGAGCCTGGCATGGCGTGGGTGCAGCTTCACTTCGACAACTCGAGCTTTCCCCCAACCTTCGTCACCACAGGCCATTTCGTCTTCCAGTCCTCTTCCATCCCAGCAAACCACTGTCGCAGACGCTGCATCATGTGCCATGTGCTGTGATTTGTAAAAACCCTTTGGACGATAAACAGAGTCCCCGCGTCCTCACCAAAAACTTGCATCAGGGTCTCCGCGGAGGGCTCCTGTGGGTCGCGGAGCGAGATTTCTGCACACCTGCTCGTGCCTGCACTTTGTCTGGGTAGTTGCGGCACAATGCGCAGGCCCAATGATCATGGCACAGTGACGAACTGCACCGAGCATATTCGTGTACAGGGTTCAGGGACGTGAGTTGCACAATGTGCAGAATCAATAATCTCATATTCAAAGCAGAGTCAATAACATCAGCATATGAGTTTTGCAACTCATTGCAGATGCAGGTTGCCCTCCTCCATTGTGCGGGGCACCAAATTCGAGGAAAGCTCGTCTGCGAGAACATTGTAGGTCATGACCTTGCTGGTGGAAAAAGGAGTTACATTCGATTTCAAGGTTTCACATGAGCCCTGATCTCTGGGAACGCAACTGAAGTGCAAAGTTGGTGCAATGCATGTCAATTAATTTGTGTCATGGCTGTGCTGACTGCCAATGGAGCGAACCTGAAATCAACATGGAACGGGAACGACACCAACAGCAAACAGTGTGCTAAATCCTTGGTATTCTAATGTATTCCAAGCCAAGGCGTGAGGGATCGATCCAAGCCACGGTGAATGCAGCAGGGGTCGTGATTGTCACGCCCGGCGTAGTTAATTCCGACATCTTGGCAGGCTGTAGGAAAGGGCCACGAAGAGGGTCGTCCACTCAGTTTGATTGCCACATCCCTGGATTGGCCAACTGTCAATCGCTGTAGATGCAGGTCTTGGGCTTGGGACGCATCAGCTGTTGCACAGAGCGGCTATGAGAAGGCAGCAGATTGGACCGCCTTGCTAGTGCTAGTGTCCTTGCTGGTCGACATGCTCAGGCTAGGGGCCATGACAGCTGAGCCAGTCAAAATGTGCACTCCGGAACTTTCACTTTCTCATTCTCTATACAAGTCTTGTGGTCGTTGCAACAGGCCCAGACTCCAATAACTTGGTCCATACCTATTTGGGGTCTGAGGTTGGATATGGAGGGGGGCTAGAAATTTTGCCTTCTGTCTTACTCTTGCTCTGGCGATCTGTGTCTCTGTCACCACCTGCGCATGGTGCCTGAACAAGACCTGACGGCGTATGCGCAGCCGCTCGAAGATCCCAATGAACCCCACACGTGACCACCTGGGACTCCACAAGTGCAGGCAGTCAAGAAAAGGCCTTTCAGCATCGCCAGACAGCACCACCAGTTCCTGTGACACATGGGCATCGGAATCCCTAAGACAAACCGCAATAGCACGAGGTGCACCCGAACACGAGCATCGCGCGTTGTAGCTCATGTCCGTCTTATTCTTGCAATTCGCCTCGGCTTCCTGCCGAGAAGCGTCTGGAACAAGCAGACCCCGGATCCCCCTAACCCCCATGCAAAATTTTCTGACGCCACCCCCCCCCCCCCCCCCCGCTGTGGGACCCCCCCCAATTGCTTGGAGGAGCTGCAAACCGATGCCGTGGACTGTCGGTGGCTCCTACAGAGGGAGTGCCTCAAAACCCACCCCACCCCCCCCCACCCCTCCCAACCCCCCCCCCTTTGACCCCTCTGCCCTTCCTCTTTGCGAAACCCTCTTTCCTCCTTTCCTGTCCTGGGGCCGGCCCGGCTGCCGAGGCGGCGCGCGCAAGCGTTTACAATTCTTGTCTCGTCATGCTCTTGTGCCGTCTGACTGAGATATTAGATATTGTTCCATCACAAACTTCCCTACGTCAGACGGCATCAGAAAGTCGTTCAATCCGCAACTGTTGCATGTTGCGTCGACGGAGGGAGCGAGGGCCCATCGTCACTCCATCTCGATGCCTCGTCACCATGAATAGTTGTGACGCGCAGCGCCAGATGCTCGAGCTGCGCGTCGACCACTACTTCCTGGCCAGCTGGCTGACGGGCTACAGTACAACCGAGAATGGGGCTCTCAGGGAAGCTCCGCGAAATCCGCTCGGTCTTCCTGCAAACCCCTCTTGGAAGGAGGCAAGAACCAGACATTACCAAACATGCACCAAGATCACCAAGAAAGCGCTCTGTTTCCGCAGCTGACTGCAGCCTACCGAAAGGCCCAGTGTATGGCATCATCTGGCAGTCCTGAGGCAGACCTTCTGCCTGGCACAATGAGCTGATTCGCGGTTGGGAACCCCATTGCAGCTATCACCAGCGAACGGTAGCTCGCTAGCAGCTAGCAGTTGCATATGCCTGCAAAAGATCCGGCCGAGAAATGAATGAAAAGGTCTCAGTCAAAGGAATGCGCTCTCACCAATCCAGAGCTCCTTAGAGCTCTCAAGGTGCACATTATCGCACATTCAAGCGGCACTCTCCGGCACACCCGACCTCTGGTGCCGAAGTCGCTGGAAGGGTTCCACGCCTCGATTGAGCTCTCATCCCTCTTTCGGACCATTGGTCCATGGGACTGCGATAAGGATGCTATAAGGACCCCTGCATCCTGGCTACCTTCAACAGTTACTACAATATCTACAATCGCTCCGTGGCCTTGCTGAAACCCCTCTTTGATGCCGAGGAACAGAGCCAGCGAGGCGCCCTTGAGTGTCAAGCTCAAGCCGGGCCTCTGCCAGTACTTCCACCGGTTGACATGGTTTAACGGCCCCAGGTGACAATTACATGACAAGCTTACAGCTGCAGACCCTGGCATGCAGTACCAACCTCAACGCTTGGCAAGCTGCGGGACTTAAGCCCATGCCAACGCGGATGTTCACTCAGTGATTTGAAGGACGAGCTTGCAGCTTGCATCATAAGATCAAAAACCCCGTTGCGAAATTAAGCGAAAATTCACCTGGTGGATCTGACGATGCTAAGTGTTTGGCACTGTCGACGGTATTGCGGCGTACACACTGGCCCATCCGTGCAACCAACCTACGTCCCTCATTTCGGTTGGTAAAGGCCAAAGCGAAAAAAGCCTCAACTATTGTGGAACACCTGTTGCTTTGTCTGCTGGTGCTTCTGTTGCTGCTTGTTTTATGTGCGATGCACACTTCAAAGGCCCCAAGTGGCACACCATGGGAAAGCTGAAAGCATGGAACAGTGCCAAGAGGCTGGTCTGGCCGCTTTACGGAGGTGCAAGAGGCGGCGACGGACGGCACCTCCCAGCTTCAAAGCGATGAGAACAAGCCTCAAAGACAAAGACATAAAAAGCAACATAAGATGTAACATCAATTCAAAGGCAAGTTCCCGCAGCAAGAACACGCTCCCAGCGGAACCCCATGTCCTACATCCTCCCAAGAACGATGTCAAATCGCATGCCTCCAGACTCAGTGAGAAGAGCTGTGGCTTGGACACATCATCTGACTCCTGCGCTCGTCTTCTAAATCACTACTAGTATCACACTGCCGGTGTGCAGAGCTCCATTTGCCACCTGTTAGGGGCTTAGGTCTCGCGACTGCGCGTGACCCGTGCCACAAGCCCCTCAGATCCCAGATCCCAGCATCCCCCCCCCTCTAGCAAGTCTTGAAGGGTGAGAAAACTTCAAAAGCCTTCCCTGCGCCGTCGGAAAAGTCCTCAAGGAAGGCGTCCAAGCTGATCTCCTACACGGAAAAGGTCCCTGGATACTCGCAGCCGGAACTGCAATGACTAATACTCATACTACTACTAAGACAGATAGTAATAATTAGTCATACTACCTTCACGTGCGGCTGAAGCCTGTATCTGTATCAAATCAAGGTGGCCGTTTGGACAGAACACGTGGAGAGAAGCCATCGCAAAGCAAAATCTTCTCATGTCAGGAACCTCGTCTGCTGGGCGGGTGGCCAGCGCTTTGGCACGGACCTTCCGCCAGGGCTTGTATGCCGAGATTCGACCAAAAAAATCCCAAGAGAGAAAGCTACGTTGCAGGATCTAGCACACTCAGGACACTCATAACTCATGCCACCTCAAGCCCACCGCCCTTGCACCCCCCCCCCCCGGTAACAAACGCTGCCATCCACCACACCAGAAGACTTGCGCGAAGCAAGACTAAGTAAACCTTGCATGACCCTGCCCTGGACCTGCAGAATGGTTCACACCTGTCACAGCCTGTGACTCTCACTCAGGTCGAGTAGAGCCCACAGCACGCCTGGCACTCAGCCAGCCAAGCCACTGTCGCAACGGCCTGTCTGCAAGCACGCCAACGAATTGCAATAGCAAGCGTTAGCAGAAATACTGCCGCAGCAGTGATGCGCGGACACGCAGCATACACCACAGCTCAAGGACAACCTCCCAAGTCAGCCCGATCTCGGGTCGTCAAGGTATGGTCGGTTTGAAACGCTCATGAGCCGTACAATGCAGTGGCCTCGATGAAGTCGCGTTTGGCCCGCTCCTCCCGTGTGGGGTTGTCCAGTTTCAGCAGTTCCTGGTAGACCTTCGCAAAGCCAATGACCCTCAGTTTTTGTCAGGTCACGCACTACGTACTGCAGCTCTTCCATCATGCTCCAAGCGCCAAAGAACACCCGTGACTACGAAATCCCGCGCCTCAGGCGTGACTGCCGGAGCTTCCTCAAGCTTTTCCAATGCCTGAGTACCGCCAGAAAGTGATCAGCATCAACATGCCTCAAGCTCTCCATGCTCTCGTCCTTTCATACGTCGTTTGTTCTCCAGCCTCACGGCCATCACGCTTTTCCGAGACGACTCATGCAGCCTGCGGCCCTGCATACGCTCATGATACATCGACGGTAGCTCGACAGCAATGCCATGGCACTGAAGCACGCAGTGCTGATGTAGCGGCAGCGACCCCGTCGAGGTAAGCCTGCCAAGTGAAGTGATGGAACCATAAAAGCAAGAACCACCCAACCAGTGTGTCATGGGCACAAACTCTCCAAAAAAGGGAAAAGGTGCGGCATGGATGCCGCTCTCCACACGCAGTCCATGACCCTGACAATGCTGGAGCTCTGAGCTTCAGCTTGGGCTGCAATATTGCATCAAGGCGCATCAACCAGGTCTTTGACCACCTGCCATGGAAGCCGCTCGCAGATTTATGGTGCACAAAAATGCTGTCAAACCCTGTTCGGGAACGAAAAACCAACAGCACCTCAAGATTGCCATGCAGACCTGGACCCCGGTCAACTGCACAGTCGCATCACAAAGCCAAGTCCCAAAGCTTGCCCAAAGCATGAAAAACCACAACTCCGATGCACCTGCACGGCTCCCGGGGTGGCGGCCAGGCAGGGCTGCATCCCGGAGGCCTGCGCCATGAACCGTTCAACCAGGTTCGCAAGTCGCGCAACACCACGAAGCCGAATGCATGACACGCCTCATTGCTACAGTTTTCGAGGGTTTTTTGACATCAAAATTCTGCAGATGTCCGCTGCTTGTTCGCTAATCGGGAGGACTGTGAGACTGCGCATGTCAAGAAATGAGCCTAGAATGATCCGAAAATGTCCGGCATTTCAAGCAATGGGCTCACGCTTGGCATATTCATACATTCGCTGGCGAGGGATCTTGCGAGCACCCCCACACTTCAGGAAGGAACACAGGCCGAAAGACCTGTGATCACATCGAACTCTCCAGATCTATCCGGAATCCTTGGCACCTCGCTGAGGACCACGTTGAGTCGGGTGCCATCCTCTGCAGAGTTGCGTGGTAACAACCTCATAATTTGTTGAGGACTGATTGAGACCTTTGCCGCACTTGCCCCATTGGTCCCCTTCCAGGAGGAAATCTCCCTCAAAGTTCAGGAGACACCCCCACGCGCACCTCACTTGCCTCAGCTGATCATAAGGCACATTGTATAACAAAATATCAAACAGTGTTTGGGGCACGGCTTCCTTTCCGTGAGAGAGAGAGAGAGAGAGACTTCCGTCTTGAGGAGGTGGTGCGAGGGTGGCCCAAAGGGGGAAGCTGGCCTCGCTCACTGCTCCACTCTCTTCGGGACCAAGCGGGGCAAGATTAGGTTTGTGTGATATTAAGGTAAGTGCTGCGCCCGCAAATATTATTGCAGTAGCAATTCTATCCGCGTGGTGTCCTCGTTCTCTTCACGAGGAGACGCCTCCACGTTGGCTGCACCTTCGCAGGGTAATTGCACTCTTTGACCAGAGTACCAAAAGACCCCACCAATGTACCGCTGTTGCTGTTGACATCTGCTTTTCCAGGCGCCCAGTGTGGCCGTCAGGCCGAAGTGCTGGAGCAGAGGTGTGTTGCCGAAGCCCCAGGTGCCTGGAGCTCTGCGAACGAAAGAAGCAGTCGTCAACGGCAGCTTGCACGATGACCCTCAACTTTCGTTCCGATGTGGCCTGCTACTCCGTCAAGCTCTTCAATGCGGAACTGAAAAGCCTTTAGGCCTCCAGAAACTGACACAAGCTCGGCTGTGATTCCTTCCAGATTGACCTTGGCCAGCATTCTCACACGCTGAGTAACGAACTAGCACGGCTGGTCAAGATAAACCTGTCGACCCGACTTGCTTGGGGCTGCGGCTTCTGTTGATCCACCCACGCGGTCGCGATTCACAGCCAGCTTAGCAATGCCTTGGCCGGCCAGCTCCGAAGGCGAATCCCATCTTTCTGCTTGGTTTCCAGCCGAGATACTTTCAGCAGTGCCAGATTTATCACCAAAGACCACGGCATGCGACAAAGCGGCGCAACGTGATTCCTTGTCCGGTGCGATCTGTTCGCAGTATGAGCTGCACCTCCTTCACATCCACCTGGAAGGCATTCTGAACAACCGATATAGCCGATCTCACATGATCTCACATGATCTCACATGATCTCACTCCGACACTGCACATGGCACCTCCCAGCGGCTCTGCATCTCCGGGATGAGCCTGCTGCGCATGGCCCGCCCCAGCCGCCGCCATGCAGGCGCTGGCGCTGGGGCCACCTAGCCGCATGCGGAGCAAAGCATACACAGCTCAAAAGCACAGTCCTTTCCAAGATCCACCCAGAAAATGTGTGCACATGCACACATCTGCAATACCATTCAACATTCAACCTCTTTCAATCCCTTTCCAATTCCTGCATTCGCCTCTGCCGCAACTCTCGCTTCCACCTTCTCAGCCTGGCAGAGCCGCTTGAAGTGGCTTCTGAAAAGGAGACATGTTCTCTACCCTCTTGCACCCTAAAACAGGAACATCTGCTGACGTCCTGTCTGTCTTTGGGTTCTGTCTGCAAACCGTGTTAGAAAGTACCGATGGCGGGGAGGGTTCCGACAAGTTTGGAGATCCCCGGCCCTCGTATCTTGTGGAGATCTGGCCTCGGGGCATTTTGGATTCAGGCGGCGAAGGATGAGCTGAGGACGTTCGGAGCTGTGACTTTAGAATGTTTTTGTCGATATCTCCTTCAAGGGTTTCAGATGTTCGTGTTCTTCGCAGCCTTGCCATCGGCAGTGACCACCGGCCTGCATTTTTGTGATCAGAACCGGGCCTTGCGTCGGCGCCAGCGTTGCAAAGCTTCTTCTTTCTCCTCCCAGAGTACACGTCTCTCCCCGCGTGCTGCTGCACAGCATGTTCAGCTTCAGAACAAAACTTGCCGAAAGCTGCTTCAGCTGCTGATCTCGCTGCCACTAAGTCTCATTAAGCGCAGCAAACATGGACTCATCCAGCCTCCTGCTCCTCCTGGTAAGGCGCTGACAAAACTTCAATCTCCAGCGAGATCCCATGGTGGCTCTGGACTCTGTTCGGCTGATCCTCATTGAAACTCACCTGGATAGGGTTGGGGGGAGGGGTAGGAGGGAACCTTGGGAGTGGTGGGGCGTATTCGGGAACCTTGGGTTACATACCCCCTTGAAGACCCTATAAGGAAAGCATATCTTGCAATTGTTGGTAGATGCCGGGTCAAAAAGCAATACGGCGATGTTCAAAGCGCACACGACCTTCGTGCTTGTCGTGTTTACCTGCTCAAACGTGGTCGAGCAGGTCGGAAAAATATGAACTGCGGAGGCTCTTGCTATCCACCTCTCCGACCGGAGGCACCAGAGCGCTGGGCTACAGACAGGGACTCGTCAGCCGCCGAACCCTTGTACCGAGCTCGAGCTTGTCTCTGCAATGGCCAACCGGCCGGGGTGCATCTGCTGAAATGAGATCGATGACTACATTCACTCGGAGTGGGGCGCTGATCCCAGAGCCGTTACATAATCTCAACAGGTCTTCACGAGATGGGTAGCTTGCTTTCGTACACGGAGTGATCACACATGTTTATTGCTGCGACCGTTCGTCGTAGCCATTTTGCTCATGTCAAGGCCGATCGGTCGACAGGTAGGGACTCCGTTTTGGCGAAAGCTCTTTCGTTCCCGCCATTTCGTTTGATTACGTTCCCGGAACCAGGACAGCCCGGCTGAAGACACCGAGGACTCCGGGGCACACAATCAACCAGAGGAGCAGCTACAGCTGATGATTCGGATGTGCCTAAGTCTTACTAGCCAAGGCCCAGGATTCATGCAGGTGGCAGATCATGTCAAATGCTGCCTCCTCCATCAACGTGCTCTCGGAAAGGGGTCAGGTCATGATACCTAGTTCTGGGTGCTAGATGAGCCTGTTCATGAGCCAAGGCTACCCCCCCTAGCCCAGACCAATCTAGCCGGGTGTTAGGAGATCAGCCCCGAATCACGTCTGCGGGGTTCAGGGACCCTCCGAAGTTTGCATCCCAGTCGCTGCAGCATCGAAATTGACACAGCTGTCAACGAGCTTAAGCGGGGACCCCGCAAGCAGCTCGGGGTTCAGTACACCTTGTTCAACCTGGGGCCACGTTCAGAATCCAACTGCTCGGACCATCTGCAACATCAGCAAGGTGATTTCAAGATCAGGCCCTAGGCGGCATGCCACTGACTAGCGAGGCAAGTTCTCATGCTGTATGCTCGTCTCCGCTAAATTGAAAAACCTTGATTAAAGCTTCTCAATACGTCCGGGTCTCATGGAGCGAGCGTTTACCAGCGTGTGGGGTGACGCTGCCCTTGTCTTTGACGAAGTACCTTGAAAGAATTGCACGGTGTTGAAGTAGAAAATGCAACATGCCGACCTTGAACTACAGCCCGCCGTTGCACGCTACAGTTCGTCCAGGGTAGATGCATTTGGCTGCCCTCCTTGGGCATTCTTTCTGACTGCATGGCTGCTTTGCAAGATCGCAGGGAACTGCTCAACCAAGGCACTTTTCCAGCGCCAAGAACTTCTTGACAAGTGCGCCGACAAGCGACATCGCCTGGTTTCTGACAGGAGAACTGCAAACACCGGTAGGGCTGGCATGTATTTCACAGAATTGCTGTTGCACCTAGTCGCGAGGGTACGCATATGATACACATACTACTGCAACATCTGCCCACTAATGTTGCACCCGCAATATTCTAGGGGGACGCTACTACAAAAAGTTTCTCGGCTATTCAGGATCTTGGCCCTTTGTTTTGGGGGTACACGCTGTTCTTTTAAAATTGGATTTTGAGGTCCAAGTTCTTAGTTTGAGATCTGGTTCCAAAACCCTCAAGAGAGATTATTATCTCCTGACCCCTTCCCTGCCTGACTGTTTGGGTTTGTTTTTTCAGGGTCCTCGTTTGTTTGGGGGGGTTTACATTATTAGAGTAGGTCAAACATTATCCCTCTTACAAGCAAGACATTTGACGTAAACGCTTACTGGCATTTTAGCAGTCCAAGCAGTGGGCGAACAATGCAAAGCTCTGGGCAGCTGGTAAGTAGCTACAGCCAGCAACTCGCGGAAAATCCTTGAACCACGCAAAATGGAAACTGGCGCTCCGGCGGCATGCTAGAGACCAGCAATGCAAATCAAAGAATATCACCGCTGCATCAATTCTGTCATGCGATCGGCCTGGACTCATTTGACTCGGCGAAGCTGCATGGCCCAAAGCGTGCATCTCGCATTGAGTCGATATTCCAGGTTGGCTGGTTATGGCTGGTTTCACAACTGATTGAAGCTAACACCTCCTTCTCAGGGCATTGAAGGTTCTCTTCTTGCCTAACTGCCTAAGGGAATCTCGCATTCATGTAATCCAATAGCAAGAGACTGCGGCACATCCTGCAGCGTAGCCCATCGCATCAAGCCACAAACGTGAACGAATGCGTCCCCCATCGTACTGTCTCCCAATCCGTCCTCGCAGAGAATCGTTTGCAGCAACTGTCAATCTCTGATTCGACTAGGCATGCCACTGGAAACATCCGACATCTGATACTCGACAAAGTCCAAAAAGCATACTGCATCAGAACACCTCATCGAGCACAGCCTTCGCCCGTTTTCTTCCTAGCATCGCGCTCGATCCGGCTCGCAAGACAGTCACCCATGGCTCTTGTTGAGCCGCTCGCCGTCACTCGCCCCTCGCCCCTTCTGCTAGGAGCCGCTTGCGCCTCTTGCCGTGTTCCGCTTGTCCTGTTTGTTGCTTCTGGACTCGACTCGCAATCTCGTGCGCATCTCCAATACTGGATCTCAGGCCTGTTTTTCGGATCCTTGAAGGGTTAGGCGTTACAAGTAGGTAGTAGGTAGGCTGAGGATAAGATGGTACCGTCCAGTTGAAGGGGGTCCTTGTAGTTTGCTTCACGTGTTCCGCCTTCCGGCTTAGAGCTGCTTACCTCTCGGGGGCGATGATGGTCTTGATAGCGTAGCGATGCCATTCCTGTAGGGTGGCCATCTCCGTTTCGGGCGTGAGGTTCAGCTCGCTACCGCTAGAGTTCAGGGTGCAGCAACGGCACAAGCGGCGGTCACCACCAAGTCACTTCGGATTCTCGATGCCTCCCCAACGTTCAGCAGGCCACTCTTGAGTGGACAGCTGGCAATAAACCCCACGGTCCAATCGCCAGGTGATGCGGCTCACTCGCTGTCCTAGCATGAATTCCATCCGACGTATGTGAGTCTGCCATGAGAAGGCATGCAGGCAGACCGAACATTACCAGAGGATTTGGACAACTACAGGGCAACTTCTGCAATCTCCTGGAAGCCGTCCAGATTTGCTGTCTGCATGCCTGTAAATCACAGTTGTTTGACACTTCCGAGACCAAAGAGTCCGGCACATGTCCATTGATGCCATGGTGGAGCAAGGCACCTTGTCACCGCCATGACGATGAAGATGACATGCGGTGGTCCAGGCACTTCGAGACGAGTCGGGAACCTGATGCAAGCAGACATGTGACCGAAAAGTACGAAAGCCTTGTATCACATGCTGAACAAACCGAGAGTAATAGTACCTGACAATAGCAGCAAAGTTAAAAGTAGAATTCTGCCAGCGTAGACCCCAGACAGTGAGAGATCGTGTGAAAATTCAACAACAGGCATTTCGTGAGGCCAGAAGTACAAAAGCGATGACAATTTCGCACTTCGTGAGCCCAAACGCCTAAAAAGTTTCGAGAGCCCAGACATTCTAAAGCGATGACAGTTTCAAGGACGGCGAGCGAAGCTGGACTCTTGAGCAGGGGAATGCAGCAGTGCCGCACCCAAAGGATCCCTGCCGTGCGCGCTGAGGGTGTGACAAGAAGTGTAGAACAAAGCGGGGTCCTTCCTTGTGACTGTGATAGGCATAACTCGTTCTTTGCCGACCAAGCAGCGTCAACGTCTGTCACACAGACCTGCCGCGATATCTAGGATTTGGGGCTTAGGTTGGGGTTTGCGGAATAGTCCGGCGGCACTTCTTTGATTTGGCGGTTTGGGTCAAGGGTTTAGGATTTACGGCTAGGGCTAATGTTTTAGGATGTAATGTCTAGGGGTTTACGATATAGGGCTTGGGTTCATGAATGCAGGTTGCGGGTCCAGGGTTTAAGGTTCAGGGAACCGCGACATCGTCAAAGTTGATCACATAGATTTGCGCAATTAGTTTCCGGGCTTTCGGGAATTACAAAAGTTCACAAAGAATCAAATTGACTCCAAACACCAAGCGCGGACTATGAAAAACCTTTTGGGAATTGCACAGGTTAACAAAGAAACACATACCGCGGACAATGGAACAGAGACCTTGCATAGCTTAGCCGACTGCTTGCAAGGAAAACTTGGCATGCATCGCTCTTACAATTGTAACACCAGGCTAATTGCATGGGGGGGCCAGTGTGTTTCTTAGATGTTCTTGGTCCGTGGAACCTGGGAAAAGGACTCCAAGCACCAAGCGCGGACCATGCAAAATCTCGAGAAAACAAACGCGGATGTTGAGCCACGCAGCCTAGGCGAAGCGCTGCTGCTCGGATTGCCAGTGCGGGCAGCAGCCCTGGTCAGCCCCTTGGTGCGCAAACGGTTTAGCGTTCATGGGGTTCTTGGGTTTTCGGCAGGAACTTACTTTTGCATTGTTTGAAGCATGGGGCTTGGGATGTAGTGCTCAGAATATTGCATCCAGCTACCAGTGCTTCTAGGCACACTTGAGTAGAATTTGGGGAACTTCGGACATGGACATGTAGCCCCGCCCCAACCCCAAACCAGAGAGTATGTCTCGGGACCGACCGAACCCAAAGACAGAATGTGAAATGTCTCCTGCAAGTACCCACACAGGCATATTCTATCTATGGGGTCGGGGAAGCACACAGATGTCAATAGAACCTTCTGTCTAGAGGATCAATTAACTGCGCGCAGTAGCAGAATGCTACAGGCAGAGCTTGTTTGATGCTCTACTACCGGTAGCGTCACTTCTACTCGTGATTCTGTGTCTGTTGCTGACGCTAAAGATGGAACCTCCAACCCTTCCTAAAGCCCCTAAAGCCTGAAATCCGAAGTCCTACGCCCAAGCTCCAAACCCATGTGCTTACCAATCCCGGTCCCAAAACACCCGGCAACTGAATGCACATGAAGCCGCCCAGCTTGTACCTGAGCGTCTTCGGCAAGAAACAAAAGTCTTTGGAGAAAGCAAGGCCCGCACGGTGCGCTAACGGCTTTGCTTCCGTAATCTGTCACTGTCACAGAAGTTCGCAAGGCTTAATTGAGTTCATGAGGTCTCATCAGCTTCTTCATCCGTGTTTTTTGTGTTGCGCGCGAGCGTCTGTACCTAATAACACTACAAGCCGAAAACCCCATGCTGGAAAAACACGCAAGAATTTGAGTTGTTGGGTTCAAACCTTTGGGCTTTGGGACCGAAGGCTGTTTTAGCGCTTCAAGGCTTAACCGGCTTTGTCTATGCGTCTCACTTGGGGGCCAGCTTCTGATCAGCCTTCCTCGAGCCCCCAAAATAAACATTACAGCTTCAGTGTCAAAACTGCAAAGTCCTGACGCACGTCAAGGCTAGTGGCTCGCTCTCACCGTTCCAGAGCAGAGTGCCCACCTCTTTGCAAAAGCTATGCTAGCAGCTATTTCAGTCGTGGTTTGGGGCGGAGGGTTGCAGTTGCTCATAGAGGGTCTTCAAGGTTTTCGAAGATTGCATCTGGCAGAACGTGTTGATACATGATCTTCTCCAAGTGGCATTGAAACCTCAACCCCTCCGAGAATACTGGTTCCTGTTTCGTACATCATACTTGGCTAGGGTTGAAGCAGCTTGCCCTCAGTTGACCACAAAGTAACAAGCGAACCTGCATGGTTGCAAGATGTTGCAAGTCAAAAGGCGACTGTCACTAAAAAACCTCATGGGGTGGTCTGTCGGGTATTCGGCGGGCTTGCACCGCGGAGGTCCTTGGGCACCGGGTGGCTTGGGGGTTCAGAGCTTCTTTGAGGTTCAGCAAAGGTTCTGCAAAAGTTGGAGCTTTAAGTCAAATCTTCGGAAGTTCGAAGATTTAGGGCAACAAGGGTCTACCACCGCAAGCCACCAAGTCTTCAACTCTGAGCCCCAACAAGTCACCAAACTTCGGCTGCAAGCTCACCACCCAAAGATCGAACAAACCCGTGCTTCTAGGACATGCGAGATAGGGGTCTTCGATGGCAGCGGTAGGGTCTGGGCGGTTCGAGGTTGATTGAGACTTTGGGTTAGGGTTCGACCACCACAGGCTTGGACTATGGGTGAAAAAAACTCAGCATACTGACCTTGCTAGTTTTGCCAACAGGGAGCACAGCACACTGGATCAGACCATCCCAACGAGAAGAGTTGCGAGATGACACAAGATGTGTTTCACGCGCAAAGCATGTCATCGCGCGACTAAATCGCAACTTCATTTTGAATGAAACGCTACGACGCCGCATTGACTATGCATTGGCTTCGCACAATATTGCAATACATGACATGGCAGAATACTATTTCCACGATGTAAACATACTTCGTACAATAATATCTGCATATACATATCACAGCCGAAACAAACGGACATGAAGGTAGATGGGTATCGATAGATCGGCCGCAGGATGATGGAATGGATGGGCGGATGATGTCTGATGCATTTGCCGAGCAGCCGTTTGCCAAGGAGACCTTTGCCACAGACCTCCACAGCGGGCAAGGAGTTGGTGGTGCACTTAAGGGCCTGCACGTTGTATACACATTGCTGTACACATACATACATATATATATATATATTGACTGTAGTATGCTTGCTGTGTATCATCATGCGAGACCGTATTCTGCTGTACTCTGCTGAAAGGTACCATGATACGCCGTGTAATGCAGCTCAAGATTGCAATGTACTCAATGCTATCATGCGATGGAAGAAATGGCAGCAAATTTACTTTACTTTCTACTGCGCGAACCTGTGGTCTGCTGTCCTGCCGTTTCTCTATCGTGACCACAGTATTCTTGGTGTGGTATGAAACTTGCAATCAGCGAACCACTTGAATCAAACGACATGGTGACGGTTCCAATCCCGAATAAACGCCCTACACGCTAAGTTGCTTCTTCAGATGAAAATCTGACATCGAGGGCACTTCTGCGAAGGATTTGAGGTGTCATCTAACAGATGAAGAGACGTCATAAGCAGGTCATTAATCACTGGTGTGACGAACCGCCCTGCGCAAGGGTGGTGAAACATCCCCTTCATGACACACTTGTGCCTGTTTCGGTCATGCCTCATGAAGCCTCATGCCCTTGCATCGAACAAAGAGCTCGTGAGATCTGAAGTCGCAGGACAAGCCAAAGGGCCTTGGGAGTTTGAGCTTGGCTGCTATGATGCGGACATTCTAATGAAGGCAGGCGCAAACACTCCAATTTTGCTGGCTACGGGTCTCTTTTTGAGAAGCCCAAATACAGTGTAAAGTCGCGTGTAAAGACCATTACTGACTTGATGGAGTGTGGAGTCTTTAGGATCTCATGCGCCACCCTCGCGCAGAAGCCCGAGACCCTAAACCCTTTTAAACCCTGAAAGAAAGGTCCTCGCCGAAGTACGCAAGGACGGGGTGGAGTTTGCGCAGCTTGGGATCCTGCTTGGCATGGAGCATGAGGGTGCAGGGCTTGCAGGGTTTAGGGTTTGGTGTTTAGGTGAGTTGAGCCCCCTGACTCGTGCTCAAACTGCGAAATAATCACTCATTATCACTGCAGTTCCGACACACGTGCTCACAACGAGAATTATAACCCGGCAGAAACACCCACAAACCCACTCGCTCCCCAAGCGGCCCGCTGTGGAGCTCAAGTCGGAGGCCCCGGTCTGTTGATAAGAGAACAGAGGAAGACAAAATGAAAAACATGCCAAAGAGAATCTTCATCATGCACAACAAGCCATGAAGGAATTGTAAACAATCAGATGAACTGCCACAACCCTGAACCTTGAACCATAGCGTTAACGTCTGATAAACAATCAAAGCGCATCTCTGTCAGCAACGCACATCGGAGCTTCAGCCCGATGACCCACTTTGGGAACCCGAATGTGAAGAAACCACCGTATCACTTGATAACCATTGAAGCCCCGTACGCCTTCAACCCTGTCAACCCCTCTCCAAAAAAACCGATGTAAAAAAAAAAAACAACCTTACAAAACCCTATATACCTTTATATAACCCTACCTATAAGCTTTTACAAGGCAAAAACAACCTATGATGAGGGATCGATGATCGCAAGGCAAGCCGCCAGGCCTGCGCACTTGATCGCTCAAAGGCTCTGAAGAGGAAGAGCCTTAGGGTTAGGATTTTCGGAACTGAGCTTTTCTAGGGGTCAGCGCTTTAGATGGCTGTGGTATAGGCGGTTTACGAGGTCAGAGTTTATGGGCTATAGGGTTTCGGCTTTAGCTTTCATTTCGGGATCTTGCAGCCCACGGCTCAGCTTTGAGCCAGGGTTTAGGGCTAAGGGATTACTGTTGGGGGCTCAAAGTTTGGAGTTCGCGTCCCGGGTTCTTCCTACGGCTTCCCCTTAAGCCGCACTCCGGGAGCTCATGTCTCAGAATTGTGGACTTCTGGAGTGCGGCAATTTGGGGGCCTTTAGAATTGAGGGTTTTAGGGCTGGATCGAGACAGCCTGGACAGAAAACTGACTGTCCATCATTATCCAGTTCTACTTCTGCTGCTGGTATTGCATTCTCCTGCTTAAGACAAGCTCCGAATATCTCTTTGCTGAGTATCGCTTCATCTTAGTCCTGAGAACAAGGTCGACGCATGTTCGGCTCGGTCTTGGACATTTTAGTCACGCTTCCACTACCTGTGCGGCCGTGTGCCCGCACGACTGCGACAACTGAACCGAACCCTAAGCTCCCTAAACCCTACATCCTAAACCCCAAGACCTAAATCCTAAACCCGAAGTGCTAGACTTACATAAACATAAACCGTTTCTGGCCAGTTATGAGGAGGACCGGTGTAGGCAACACCAAAGCTCCCCTTCGAAGGCAAACATCCCTACTTCTGAAGGAGATGGGGCTCGCGAGCAGTGGAGGCGAAAATGAAGGACGAGCGCATGCCCGCAGAACTACAAGCCCGGCATGCAGAGCCACATTGGGAGAGCGGGGCCACAAGCCTACAAGAAAACGAGCCCACGGCATCGCAGGACACCGGCACCGAGCTGAAGCATACGATGAAGAACCAGGACTAAGCTCAAAACCGTAAAAGGGTTCGACCAGTCGCCAGAAAGGACAATGCGGGTTTCGGCCACCGAGGCAAACGAGTTTGCCGAGATCCCGACCGCTCACCCTGTCCGCAGATGTCACACCTGCACATTGTTTGGGGTTCAGGACTTGGGGTTGACAGCAATGTTTAGGATTTTCAGGTGTGTGTGCTTCAGAGCTTAACTCCCAAGACCCCTCTGCCTGCATCTACTGCAATGCTTGGAACGTCATGGTGCAGAACGACGACAACAAACCAAAACAAACACAATGTGTTGGGCTTGGGATGTGCACAACACACGATGTGCGAAGAATGCCGTTCCATAGCTTGATATCCTTGACTATGGGGGCCTGAACCATTACTGTAGCAACACTCGTTTTTGGCGTTCCCGAATGCACTTCGTAGAAGAGCCCCAAGCCCTAGTCTAATTATTCAGACCAATGCCTCCCCGACGTCAATGTTGGAACGCGAAAGACCGGCTTCTCTGGGCAAGGGCGGAAAGTGATGTCTCAAGATTCGCGAGACAGCGTTCTCGACTGTGCGCGAAGCGATCTCAAACGACAAGCAATGATATGAGCCCGACGTGTCTCCCCAAGGGTCCACATGGCACGTGCCTAGATGTTCCCGGCAAGGCCCCCGACGAACAATCAATCGTAGCGCAGCTGAAAATGATCATTGGGTTTGGGGTTTTGGGGGACTGGCTTACGATGCTGGCTACACTTGGTCAATACACCGTCCTTGCTGGAGCTCCCATTGCAAGCGATGCTTGTGGCTCTTTTACGCTCTAGAAGCAGCCCTGTGGTAGAGGAAAGGAATGCCGGTGCCAGAAACTTGTGCCCGATAAACCATCGGATGATGTTCCCCACAAGTCTAGCATTCAGAACCTCAGGCCCCCCGCCCCATATGAAGCCAAACCTATGACATCTATATCCTGAAACCCGCAAGCCCCCGAAACTCTATAAACCCAAGTTTTTATTCACACGCCATTTCTGTCAATATATGTATATATCTCACTTGATTCACTCAACTCAGATTGAGTGTTGATGTGAAGCCACTCCGCGTGCCACATTTTTCATTCATTTGACACAACAATGACAGGAAACCTTTGAACATGTTGAATCAAATTTCAAAGAGTACGCCAACAATGACGATAAGTCAGGCATTGTCGACGATAACATTGAAGATGAGATCAAACATCATACCCTACGAAGCGCGAGAATCCCATAAGCCCTGCAAACCCTATCACCAAAGGAGAAGCTGTAAACGACATCAGAAGATATGAAAAGCCGGCTCTCCCTCGCCTGGAGTCCGAGTACTTGGCGCAGGGCTGCATCTTGGTGGGGTCCATGGTGTAGTGCCCAGGTCCCTGCGGCAGGCATGCTCCGAACCGTTATGGCTACTACTATGACTCTTGCTGTGCTTTGACATTCGCATGTACGAGCCACGCGAAACCAGCGAGCATAAGCTGTTGCAATCAGATGTTCAAAACGTCTTGAGCGAACTTATCAGGCAAACTAAGAATGAAAAAAGCCAAATGAGCCATGTCTTGCCGCTTCCCGATGTTCGTCTTAACTTCATAAGTTAAGCATCAAGTAAACATGACACACAAGTGTTTTTTTATATTACGTGTGTACTTGAGTTTTAACCCTTCATCAACCCCAAACCTGAACCCAAATTCTACGAGACCCTGCGTGCCTTGTTTTGGGCTATGGCACCTATAGAACCCAGGTTGTGTGTCGGATTGTGCGTTGGGGATCTGAAGTTGGAGTCCTAGGGTGGGGGGCTCAGCAGTGCCCATATAACTCTCTACAAGGTTTCTACAAAAGTTCTATAAGGGTTCGGGGCGCAAGGCGTAGGCAGCTTCGGGTGGTTAAGCGTTGACGCAATTGCAAAAAGAAGTGTTAAAGGGCTTCTATGAGGCTTCATACATGCTTTTATACGTTGACGTTGTACAAACATGCGGACTTAAAATATCAAACCTTAGAAGACGTTTTTGATTGCACCTCCGTCAGTATCACGCCCACGCCTGTTGCCTGCTGCTATTACAATTGCTATCATCCTCACTCTTATCGCTACCGCTGCTCAACCATGAACTGCAAACCAAAGATTATTTTAACCCTACTGCCGCAATAGAAAGCCGGCCAAAACCCTAATCCGTGCAACATTAAAGCCCCAATCCCCGAAACCTCAAGCCTTAAACGCTCAACCCTGAATACCTTCAAGCCCCAAACCCGAAATCCCTCAACCCTCATGAACCCTGAAACTCTGAACTCAACTGTAAACCTTCATGAAGCCCTGCGAGTATGTAGCTACAATCTTCTGGAAAACCTCGCTCAATCTTAGAGATTTAACGCTTTTATAGAACAACCCGCATAGAAGCCCCCGTAGAAACCTTTTCAACACCCCATTCTAGAAACGTTAATAACACCTTTCTCATCGAAACCCGTCTAACCTTGTAGAACCATACTCTTCTCTCACACCGAGCACCACCTTGACGGATGCCGCCACCCAGTTGTATTCGCGTCCTGGGCTCTCTTGGAAGGCTCCTGACCCGATAATCAAAGTTATGCGGACATAAAAAGTATGAAACGAATAATGAAAGTAGCGTAAACTGCAATCGCGATAATGGCGGCAGCCATTGTGAAGTGATTTTGACTTAAGACGAAGCTAAACCTGCGTGTTGTTTGCGGTTTTGGGGATTGGGATTGGATTTGGGTTGCAGCCCTGAAAAAAAACTTCAACCCTCCGAGCGCTTGGGGATTAGGGTCAAGGGCTGCGCGCTGTGGGGGCTTGGGGAGGGTTGTGTTTTTATCGGGTTTAAAGGCCCAGCTTGCTCTTATGAGGCGCTGCTCCCCCAGCTTCATAGTGGAGCTCCATAGTCACCCTTGCGCATAGTGCACTCCCAATTGTCCCGAACGTATGTCCAACCCCCCAAGCTAAGCCATGGTTGCTGCCACTCCTCCCTCCGAAAGGTCCGCAACTCAGGAGACCATCGGATAAAAGTGAACTGGCAAGATCCAGAAAAGTCAACAGTGATCAGACATGCAAGCGACTGAAAGACACCTCAATGACGGCGACACGTCTCACGAAAGAAAGAGATTTATTCTCATCATGGGTGTGAACGCGCACGCGCACGCGCACACGAATGGACTACAAAGCAGCCAGCTCAGCATCATAAGGCTGCGCATTGACATCGCCCATGACAGCAAGAAGAAGTTGACCAGTTCCCGGGAAAATAACTGAAATCAAAAGCCAGTCAGCACGCAACGCAAAACAGCAACGCAAACTGTGTTTCTGTGCAGGGAGGACCAAGAGAAGGGATGCAGAGAGAAACATTAGGACCAGTCAATATAAACACCTGTGAAACTGCCTGTGCCAGGAGAACGGACGTCTCCTGGAAATCATGGAAATCCTGCCATCGCCATGTTGCGCTGATTCACGCAGAGCTAGAGCGTGCACTGAACAGCAGTGCGGAAGTGGGGAAAAGGTCACAAAAGGTGATGAACCGTTCGCGTTTCGTTACCGATACATGATAACAATGACAAAGTGACACTGGCAACAACACTGATGACAACGCTACTTCAAAAAAACACCTGATACATAACTCGTGCACGCACTTTCGACCCCCGGGCTGAGCACGTTTCAGGGCAGGAAAGCTTCCGTCTGAGAACCACCCAGCGTGTCCTTTTAGGTGTTAGGGCTTCCCACCCAGTTTCCCGTAAAACAAGGTTTCTCAGCCAACAACCCTTTTGAAAGGCTTGGGGCTTTCCTTTTGGGGTTTAGGGTTTCCCACCCAGCATCCTTTTATCCTTTCAGGGTTCAGGCTTACAACCTAGCATCCATTCGTAGGATTCACGGCTTTAGGGTTTATGTTTTCCGTTTTGGGGCTTAGGGCTCCTACCACATCCTTTTACGTGATTAGGGCTTACGGGTTCAGTGCTTCTCACCAACACCTCCTTTTTAGGGTCGAGGCCTTGGGCCAGTAGGGTGTTTATGCTTCCCCTTTAGATTCAGGGCTTGCAACCCAGCATGTCCTGTTATGCTGTGGGGCCCTCGGCTATGCTTTCGAATCAGGTCTTCAGGTTTGGAGCTTTCAGGCACGCATGTCGACCCTTTTCCTGGCATCACGTTTCTACAGCACGCAAGCACGACCACGCAAACAGCGCAGCCTGCAACACTTGCTGAATGGAATGAAGCAGACGGAGTCCGAACAAGGCACCCTCGACCACGAAAATCAATGCGCCCTGGTCCCTTTCGCCGAAAAGCTGTAGCTCCCAAACCCTAAAATGCCACAGGGTCACACTCAAAACCCCCCCAAACCTCCAAGATCGTCAGGCCCTAAAGAACACAGAAAACCCTAAACCCCCCCTCCCACCCACCCTTAAAACCGCTAAACAACCGCAAAAAAACGTGACTCCGCAACCAAAATTTTCACCCCAAAACAACCTAAACCCTGAAACTTTTATACCCGAAACCCTACACCCAAACTCCCAGAACCCTCAAACCCCTCGAGCCCCAGGAAAATCCTAGCTCTGGGCCCGCCGACGCTTAAACTTGCTGATGGGCGAATTGAGGAGCTCCGGCGTGTCCCAGATCTTATGGGGCAAGCAGCAAGGGGTCTGGGCTTCTTTCGGTGCATTGTTTGTGGGGACTGGGTTTAGGGGTTTAAGGCTTGTTTGGGGTTATGGGGTTGGGGGTTTGGGTGTTTAGGGGTAGGGGTCTTGGGCTTAGGGCATGTTAGGTTCAGATTTTCGTTTCAGAGGCTTACGACTTTAGGGTTTAGGACTTTGTACAGGGAGCTTACTCCAGTGCTTCGCAGGTTTCAGGAAGGTGGTTAGAGGGGTTTTAGGGCTCCAGGTTTTGGGGCGTGGGTTTCGGGATCCCATTGAAGACGAGACTCTGGGAAAAAAGGCCTTAGGTGGGTCTGTGACCCTACTCTTGGGGTTTCTGGGGGTGTAGGGTTTATGGGCTTTACGGGCTTGGGGGTTTAAGGCTTCGGGTATGACGGCCAACATGCTGATGCCGGATGCCCCCCCCGACAAGGATCCCCACCTCTTGGCTCTGCGTGTCGCGGCACAGCTGCGGCTGCGATAATTCGAGCTCCTACGTGTTGCTCTGCTTCTTCGGAGCTCGCTGACCCATTAGGTTTGGGTTTAGGGGAGGGTTGGGAATGAGGGCTTAGCGCATTTATAAGGGCTTAAGGAGGGCTGGGGTGTTGGGGCCTACATTCCAACCCAATTCCACAAGCTTTCTAAACCATGCGCGCAACGTCCTCTTCGCCGGGGAGATAACCAGCCACGATGCCGGTGCACCTCGGGCTTGGGAGGGCACACTGCCAGTCCTGAAGGCAGGGTTTTTGCCCCCAAAAAAAAACGCCCCAAAAACTTTACAGTCTTCAAAGCCCGAAGGCCCCTGAACTCCACACCGCAAAAGCCCAAAAGTCCCGAAGCAAAAGAACACAACCCTAACCCTAAACCCTCTGAGCCAAACCCTGAACCTCAACCCAACACCCTACACTTTGAAGCAAACCCCCCAACTATACACTCACCAGCCTCCTCAGCACTCACCAAAGTCAAAGAATAAATCTATGGATGGATAGATAGATATCCAATACTAAGCGTTTGCTTCGAACATCCCCACTCGAAAGCAAAGCAACCGGAGGGATATTCTACAGGATAACCTCCCGATCGAACTTGATTGGAAGCAGGAGTCTGAGATGTGCTGGGGTGTTGGGCATAGGGTGTTCGGGTCCATCGCAGATTGATGAAAGGGATGCAAATTTAGGCAGTCGGGATGTGGTGCTTTGGTTTAGGGATGTAGGGGCTTAATTTAGGGTTCAGGGTTCACGCTGTAGAGCTGGGCGGATTCGTGTTGTCAGGCAGAGTTGTTGAAACACGCTCTGTAGCATGCAAGTCACCTTTACAAGAAATGCTGCACCGCTGCCATAAGCCCCGAGGCAGCCAGGCCGACGAACACAGTATTAACGAAAAAGGTGCAATGCAATACATGAAGCAGGATTGTTGGAAGACCCAGCCCGATTACCGTAGTGCGCAGAGAGTAGCAACAGCGGGGGCGTCTCGTCCCATCTCGGGCGTCTACCTTCGTTCACATTCTAGGGTTGACGGCCTGGTTGAGGGTTCGCATGGGGCTTCGGGTAGGAGTTCAGTTTGGGTACACAAGGGTCGGTCCTTTATGGGTTGCAGGGGTGAATTCGGGTTCGATTTTTTGGGATGTTTGTGGGGTTAAGAATTTCGGGACTTCCGACCTAAGTAGATTGAAAATGCACGGGCAATACAGAGTAAGGTTTAGGCTACAGTCTACTGCAGCTGTATCGATGCAAAGCACAACATCGCAACTGCTGAGGCTGCTGAGGCTCCAGGATTCGAAGTTCAACAACTGCACTCCGAAATCTGCCGCCCAAAGGGTTTAAGGTTCCTGCTGTGGGGGTTGGGCTTTATACTGGGTGCTGCTCATGTTTAGGCGTTGGGGCTTCGTCAGCGTGTTGAGATGTCGTCCTTGAAGTCCAGGCTTAGAACCACTTATTGTAACCTGGATGAGGCCTTACAGCCCTGACAAGCTCATTCGTGCATCCTGCTGCGAAGGAAGAAACCCCTAAACAAAAAGGATAGCAACCTCAGTGATTCAGACCACTCCCCTCGCACGTTTAGCCGAAGCCCTGAGGCCGAAGCTCCACCCCAAGCCTTAAACCATAAAGCCTGAACTAAACAATACTTAACTAGACTCCAAGTTTTAACGCTGAACCCTCACTCCTAACCGTAATCACAGGAAGAGCAGGACGGGCCACTGTCCGTAGAGAGGAGATTCGCGAGCGTGGAATCTGCCTCTGCCTTGTGATAGGATGTGATAGGAGATACGGTTCAAGGCTTATAGGGTTAACCAAGTTTAGCCTCCAAGGCTTTAGAACTTGAAGGCATAATTGAGAGCGTGGAGGTTCGAGGTTTGAAGTTAGCTGGGTTTTTAGGTACTGGAATGCTGTTGGATGCCTTGAAACCAGAACCAAGTCATACCAAGTCCCAAACCAGTAACCATAAGAAGCCCCAACCCAAGAACCGCGGAACCTTTTGGAGGAAGGCCCCAAACTTGGACTTTAGGGCCATATAGAGCTTGATAGCTTCATAGCTTCACATCTCAAGCCCATTCCCTGCGTCGCATTGCAAGCGTGGGAGTTAAGTGGAGAAGACTCTGAGGGGCAGCGCGGCATTCCAGGCTTAACCCGCTGTGAATCGTTCCTGCGCTACCTGACCCTTGCCAGGACTTCCAAGACCCTCTTGGTAAACTCAGCATGTGAAACAACATCCTCCAGTCCCTTGCCATTCGGCACGGACGAATAACGTTCGAAACAAACTTGGCCTAAAAGATCATGATCAGAACCCAGGCTGGACTGTAAGAAACTGAAGAAGGTGGAGGCTTGCAAATGCCTGGAAGCAAGGCTAGACATACCCGAAGTACGATACAAAAAACTAAACAGGTCTAGCGTACCACTGCAAACAAAGCGGGCAAACTTCAAGTCCGCCGACCCCGGCAAGGGGGTGAGCGCTGGGTGAAGCACAAGCTCTGTTTCCAAGCGAACACAACGATCGCCCTAACTCCCTCTACCCCCCTCCTCTCCTAAACCCATCCGCACCCCACCCTCCTTGCATCCCCCACTAAAAAACTGAAATAGAGAAATACAAGAAACCACCCCCGCCCTCCTCCTGTGGGTTCGCCAACCACACCCAAACCAAAAAAGACAACAAGTCTTCGTTGCGTGCTGTTTTCTGTGACGCCCTTACCCCCAAAACTCCCCTGCCTACCCCCCCTTGAAGACTCATGAAAAATGCGCGTTTGGGTGTGTCGCCCGGGACCTCCCCACCCTCTGCCGGGACCCGTGAGGGGCGTAAGGGGTGCAAGGTGTAAGGGGTGTCAGATGTGGGGCCTCACTGGGCCCCCTCTGGAACCCCCTTTCAAGACGACTCTGATAAGTTCTTCAAATCCTGATGATGGGGATTCTCCCTAACGGCATAACGGATGACCAGCTGGGAGTTTGAAGCTTGAAACGCGACCTACGGGAGCTTCGGGAGCTGCGCGAGCTTAGCGATCTTCGGGCGCTTCGCGAGCTTCACTTGTAGTCTGAAGCTCATGAGCGTCGCTTTTTAAGCCTGGTGAGCTTCGCGCTTCGCACTTCGAAATCAAGGTTCAGCACTTGTTTGGCGCTTGGGGCTTGCTAAGAGTTTGCGTGTACAATAATGCTGTGCTCGCTGTAGTATAAGGGCCTCCCCCCCCCCCCCCAAAAAAAAAAAAATGTGGCATTGGACTCCAGATTTGGGTTGAGAGGTTGAGGGTTGAGGGCTTGAGAGGTTGAGGAGCTTGGCCTTTGGGGAGTTGAGGGGTTGAGAGGTTCTGCCTCGGAAGAATGGGGCTGCGGAATAATCCGAACCACCCATGCACGAGGGCAGCTTGTGGGCTGCTCCCTTGAAAACTTGTTTGGAGCCTTGTTTCGCTCGCAAATCTATTTTGTTTTTAGAAGCTCGGCTCCAGACATTGTAGGGATCTGAAGCTGCACTCTGGCCAAGCCTTGACATTTATGAGGGCCTAAGGGCTCCAGGCCTTCTGATTCATCAACCTTTTTGTCCACCCTCCCCCATCCCCGCCCCGAGAACTTCGCATTGTTCCGAGTGTCATTGGGGGAGGGAAGGTCCCTGAATAACTTTTCAAAGTTCGCAGCACAGCGCGGAATGTTGCTAAAGCGAGCGCAACACTACACAAATACTTGTACGCATTCATGTACATATCTATTTTCTGTGTAGTATAGATTAGGAAAGTACAAACGTAAAACAAGGCCTCAGGGCTGCGAGGTCTGAGTGTCCCGCAGCAGGCCCGGGCGCAGGAGCAGCCCCTGAAGTGGCTTTGGCTTTCGCCTGGCTTCGCCGGATAGGGCTTTAAGTAGGGCGCGTTTATAAGCTTTCACAGGGTTGCATAATGGTTTAAGGAGTGTTTTATAGGAACTTTGGGGTTTCATGAGGCTTTTCGGTGGGGTGAAGGCTGTAGGGTTTGGGGCTACAAGTAGAAGGCTGCATGGGTATATTCTTGGGGCTTCAGGGTTTATCACTGTAGTGATTGTAGTGCTGGGCATCTGAAGTATGTTGCACTTTCGATGGTACGGCGTCAGCTCCGCATAACAGCACTCTGCTGTGTCGCTTGCCATGCACTGCAGCCTAAACCATAAACCCCAAGTGCGAGCAGATGCCTCCCTACCCAACTCCGATCTAGACTCCTTCCAACATGTCAGCAGGACATGTTATATCAGCTGGTACAGATACTTTCCGCGCGGCAAAGCAACCACAGTCTCACGCTCTAAACCCTGAAAACTGTCGAATAGTGACTGCGAACGGACTTCAGCAGAATGTAAGAGCACGGATGAGCAATGCCTTGCGACCCATTGCAGCTGCTCACTCACATGCCAGTGCTGGTGCTCGTGCCAGGGCTGGGAGCTGCTTGTGCTGGTTCTGGTGATGCTTCTGGATTTGCCAGTCCATCTGCAGTGCTTGCTGCGCGCTGCCGGTGTAAGAGAACGGTTCTATGCCTATAGCCCTGGTAAAAATGTTGTGGAATCACATGGGTTTCGCAGAGTTCGGAGTACGTCCATGCTGATGTGATGCAACCATGAATCCCCATGAGTTAGAAGTTCTACGAAACTTTCATGGCGTTTCAGAGCATGACGGACCCCTAAAGCATAGACAAGAAACCCTCCATGGAAGGATCCTTGTTATAAGGACAGACCCCTAAATCAGCTATCCTAAGTTTCTGAAACCTCCATATTCAAGCTCATCATACCTGAGCCAGTGAATCGAAGCCAGCACCAAGGGTTGACAACAAGAGCTAGCTTGAGCTAGCTTGACTTTCGGGGGCCCACACTAGAGAGTCTTCAACATCTCGGATGTCCCAGCCGATGTAATCGTCACCGGGTCCTCTCGAGTTTCGTGAAAGAATCGTAAAACACTTCCGTGCCTCCTTTATCGATTACATGTTGTGCAATACAGTGAGACCACTGTATGAGAAACCCTTGTGATCCGGGGACTTTGGGCGATGTTGCGGTTGCCGTTTAGCTAAACTAGGGGTACTCGGGGCCACTTTCTGAAAATGTTGCCTGCAAACCCTGCGGGCCTCCATGCCTAAACACAAAAAGTTTTTTTGGTTGCTATTATACCCTATAAACCCTCTGCATCCTATAAATCCCACAAACCCAGAAACCCGAGCAAAGCTCTAAATCCTACAAAAGCCCTAATAACCCTCTAAACCCTTATACGCCCTATGCAAACGAGATGTGTTTGATGACCGCAGGCGGATTCGAACGCGAACCCGTTGATTCGAAGGTCGACGCCTTACGCACCAGAGCATTGAAACATACAGTCTGAAGAGCCAGTTAAGCTTGTGATTGAGATTTGCACTTCAAAGGTCCTCCCCAGACGCGGGGGAGCCACATTCTAGAGCTTTCAGCCGCCATTCTTCGGAGAAAGCCAGAGCCGAAACGCTGGCAAAACCAAAGGAATCCATTGGGAGCCGGGATCTTGTCAATCAGGAACAACTTGCCTGGTTTCATCTGGCAGGACAACTGCTTGTACACATGGACTCCTCTGTTGACATTTCGTCTAGACCCACACCACTATCATGTTCAGCCTGCTCAAGTACAAGCCGAAACAGCCACAAAAGACAGATATACGTACAAGACTCCGCAAACTGCCCTCATATATCGACTTTCGTCTTTGCATACAGGGATTCACCTACTTGTCGTGAAAGCAGAGGCAAACGTTGCGCATTGGCTTCTTTCCGCGTAACGCGACAGCTTAAGCCTGAAGTCCTGCAGAGGCTCATCTGGCAGTCTGCCGGGCATCCTTGCGTAGCCACAGACCCTCGGGTCTCTAGACCGTCATCGAGACTTCCACGCAAGAGAAGCACTGGCCAGAGCGCCACACTTCGCTACCTTCGGTCTTGCGACGCCTCTGGGAGGGTCTGGTTTGCCTGAGGTCTGGCTGCGAATCCGTTCACGAGAACCAAGCACCGCCTATCAGACCAGCTTAGGGGCCTGTTTCAAGTTAAGGGCCTTACATCCCTAACCCACCTCGTCTGCCTCCCCCGTGGCGCGCATGCGGGCAACACCTTCGACTAGCTGACGGCTAAAAATGCTACCTGCTAATTCAGTCAGAATGAAATTGCACTATCCTGCTAGATACCCCTGCTTGGCCTGGCCGCCGCTGTGCACACAGAGCCGCACGCCACATTTCGGGGCATGCTCGCTTCGCATGCTTCGAAGTTCTGGCCTATCCTCTGGCCAATGCCTGATCAATGCTCAGCCGGCATGCAGCAACACGCCTGTGGCCTTCCTCTGAAAGTTGCATACCATTATTTGCTTAGCCTTTGCTTAGCCGCTTAGCCTGGTATGCAAAATTGCAGACACTTGAGAGAGCAGGGACATTGGTCACCAACGAGTTCGGCCTGAAAATCACAACTGCTTGAAGCAAAACAACAGTGACTCATCATGTAAGAGGGTGCTCAAGAGGTCTCACTGCAAGGACCCAGAAATTGGCATTCGGCGCGCAGCTGAACCTGAGCCTTGCGCAAGCCCGCTTCAAGTGTCTTGATGGCACACTTCAGGGAAAAGGGAACAGTTTAGGGTTTAGGTGTGAAGCTCATTCTTGTTTTTTGGGTTGCACGATAATAGCCTTTGAAAGGATTTTGCTAGGTTGAGGGTTTAGGGTTTATGTCCGAAACTCGTTCAGTTGAGGGCATTTGTGCTTGCCCAATATTTTTAAGGATGATTTTTGGTTGCAAGACCTTCTCCCCCCCTTAACCCGGACAGTCGAGCCAGTGTGCAGGAGCCATGGCTTGGCCACTGATACACGATTCCATCGGCTAACGTGGGGCAGGATCCGGGAGCAAGAGGAAGAAATCGACATAATAGGCACGACCACTGGAGCCCTGGAAGGACGTCCAGGCGGGGCTCCTCCTCTTGCAAGGAGGCAGCTGCAGCAAACCAATTCCGCACAGCCTCCCCCGTAGGACAAATCTAGGTCTGTGCCAAGACCAACACACACCTCAGCCCTGTCGCCCAGCCCGTATGTGACGAAAGGCAGACCCAGCGCACAGTCTAAGGGTGTTGCCACTTGGCCCTTGGCAACCTTCTGAGGCATCTTGCACGGAAACAGAGGTGAGCAAAGTTGTCATCGCGAAGCGTGGACAACGCCACACCTGCAGCTAGCCCGCTATACATCTTTGGTGCCGCATGCTCAGGTATGCTGGGAAGTCCAGCACTCTGCCAGATGGCCTGTTGACTGCCTCTTTCGTCGTATGCCACACCTCGGACACTCGGACAGATTGGTTTCGCCAGGTGTGATGCCCTTATACGCCCTTGACCTTGCAGCCCCTGCAACACCCCTAAATCTGCGTCATTGACTGGAAGACCAGGAGTTGTCCGCTGGGCCTCTGCACACCTCTTGATGCCTGGGCGCTGCATCGGGAACTGGAGAACTTGCCATACTGGGGCACTGAGGTCCCGGAGGCTGATCTCCTTGACCCTTTGGCTGCTGAATCCAGTCCTATCCCGCAAGTCCAACCCGCGTTAACCTTTGAAGACCAATGCGGACAGGCACTAGTATCTCGTGGCCGTTATGCACTTCGGATCATGCCCTCGCACGGCAAACAAACGTCAATCAACAATTAGATGCCGTGACAAAGTGGACAAAATTGAATCTGCAAGCAACATTCTTGGCCAGCCTCACGACTGACGTGTTGCCAGTCGTGTTGCGAGTTCCTGCCCTCACTGGCGGGCGACGTTGCAAGACGAGGGCCTCTCCCCAGCTTGCCACGTTTTGGGAACCAAAACATGACTGTCTTGGGCAACACCTTCGACTAGCTGATGGCTAAAAATGCTACCTGCTAATTCAGTCAGAATGAAATTGCACTATCCTGCTAGATACCCCTGCTTGGCCTGGCCGCCGCTGTGCACACAGAGCCGCACGCCACATTTCGGGGCATGCTCGCTTCGCATGCTTCGAAGTTCTGGCCTATCCTCTGGCCAATGCCTGATCAATGCTCAGCCGGCATGCAGCAACACGCCTGTGGCCTTCCTCTGAAAGTTGCTTACTATTATTTGCTTAGCCTTTGCTTAGCCGCTTAGCCTGGTATGCAAAATTGCAGACACTTGAAAGAACAGGGACATTGGTCACCAACGAGTTCAGCCTGAAAATCACAACTGCTTGAAGCAAAACAACAGTGACTCATCAGGTAAGAGGGTGCTCAAGAGGTCTCACTGCAAGGACCCAGAAATTGGCATTCGGCGCGCAGCTGAACCTGAGCCTTGCGCAAGCCCGCTTCAAGTGTCTTGATGGCACACTTCAGGGAAGGCCAGGGACCAGGCGGGGCTCCTCCTCTTGCAAGGAGGCAGCTGCAGCAAACCAATTCCGCACAGCCTCCCCCGTAGGATAAATCTAGGTCTGTGCCAAGACCAACACACACCTCAGCCCTGTCGCCCAGCTCGTATGTGACGAAAGGCAGACCCAGCGCACAGTCTAAGGGTGTTGCCACTTGGTCTCTTGGTAACCTTCTGAGGCATCTTGCACGGAAACAGAGGTGTGCAAAGTTGTCATCGCGAAGCGTGGACAACGCCACACCTGCACGACTCAGCAGGCACCGGCCCGCTAGGCCGCTAAAGTACAATCACGGACGCGAGGCCTCCAAATGCTAGGATCAATGTTGGGTAAAGATGCCTCGATGCACTTCTTCAGGCATCTGTGGTGGCTTTTCTCGCAAAATTGCTGGGGACGGCTTTCTGGTTGCGTTCGTTTGCTAGCCTTATTCACTTCACTCATCCGCAAATACGATTAGTAAAAGGGTTTTAGCTCACGGACGTACCAACAACACGCTGAGACTGTGGATGAACAGGGTGAACGATGTCATCCTCAAAGTTGAACCAAGAACCCGCGTGTTAACAGGATTAAAGGAGCTCTGTTCTCTAGGGAATATAAGGCTTATGATTCGCGGGTTAACTGGCCTGAACGGTTGGGTCTTGGGGTGTACACCTTGGCAACTGCCGTTGACCCTCCTCCACTTGTGACAGCTGGCCTTGTAGCCGACACATTAGGTTTAGGCGTTAAGCGTATAGGTGGTGATTCGAGGAGAACGCGGATGTAACAGGAAGTGGGATGAAGCACCCAACACTCAGATCAAAAGCGGAATGGTCATGCGCGAAGAGCCACGGAACAGGGTGGATGGAGTCAAGAGTTACGGCAGCAAGAATCTGCGAGTCTCTGGTCTGAGTGCAATGGCTCAGGCACATACGAGACGCAAAGTTGAGGTCCGAATCCTAAATGAAAAGCAGTGACCTCTGCTTGGCACTGGCAAGCGACGCAGTAGATAATGATCAACACCCAAGTCTTGAAACTTA